TTCATTCGTTCATTCATGCGACCATCCAATTCCATTCATAAAAGAAGCCAGTGACAAAATTGTTCATTTTAGATAAGTGTGAAATACAAACTCAATAAAAGTTTAATGATACGGCAAATTTGACAGCTTTTATAATGAGCAGACAAAAAACTTTAACAAATCAAAGTTGAGAGCCCCAAATAGGGAAGAGTGAGGTAAGATGAGCCAAGGGGCAAGTTTAGCCACCCCATGTTTCTCAGCTCCTATGGCGCTAATTGACTTGAGCTTCCATGTGTCGTTCGCTTACGATGCTGCAGTCTTTCACGTGAGGCGGCAACGTTCTCACGCTCAGCACCCGGTAACATGTGGTATCGCCCCTGATAACTAGCACATGTTTTGCCTTTAAAATGAGATGGTTGTTATCTGCGGTGCATGGTTATTTTCCTTAGCGGGTGTCATTAATCGAGAATGGCCACGGGTGGGGCAAGATGAGCCATTTTCACCTGGAGGAAGATGAGCCGGATAAGCAATTGTTATCTCCGCTGTCGAAAACCAAACTGAGCTGCGCTTGTTTCTGCTGAATAAAAATGGTAGGAAATTGTTTTTCTTTGTTGATTGCACAAGTTGTAAGTGATTTGCAGATTATCTGAAGGATAAAATGATTTCTTCCGTGATAGAAAACTTGACGAGCTATTGGAAGGCTCAAATCAGTCACTTTTTGATGGAGGAAAAAAAACTTTGCCATAAGTATCCATGCCATGGAGTAAATAAAAGAGCCCACTCTTCGCCGCGCCCGCAAAAAGAAAAGGTTCGCTTTTCTATCCATGCTCAACTCTCCCCACGACGTGTCTCAACTTACCCCGCCCATGGAGTAAGATGAGCAACGTGCAATATCATTTTTGACGTAGCCTTTTCAGTACAAAAATAAGCGGTATGAAACATTTCTGGCCACCATTACATGCGCAAATCACCACTCTGTCCGTCCAACCCGTAAACGCAGAAAAATGATCAGAAGTTAGCCTGTAGCTTACGAAAAACAAAAAGCGGCTCAACTTACCTCATTCTCCCCTACGTAACATAATTGAGGGCATTTTTAGGCCATCACAGTTTTTGTCAACAATTGTTGTTTGGGGGACTGGGGAGGGTGGTTACTGGCTCATAATCTGCCCCCCCCCCCCCAAAAAAAAAAAGAAGAAAGAAAACGAAACCGATCATCCGCGAAAAGAACTATTGAGCTCGAACCAAGGTGACGAATCGATTTATAGGTATGCAGGATGACTAACCGATGCCACTTTTTGACTTCTTGTGTCAAATAAATTCCATCATCTGGATAGCACGTCAACATTCTATTTGACGTTTTCCAACAAACGTATACTATTTGGCGCGACTAGCCTCATAAATGTTCTGAAACTAAAACCGTTTCTTCGCAATTAACTTGAACCACGTCATCCCAGCTTATGCACGACAAAAATAAAATAATGCTTCAGGATCACTGGCCTGAATTCCAAAGCTTAAAGTTTACTCAAAGCCGGTGTGGCTGAGGCACTCTTCGCTACATCTCGTGACGGCCACCATTGTGTTGCATTTTTCGGTAAGCTATAAGTTAATAAGGAAAGGATTGGTGAGTGGGTTGAAAACAGCCCTCACCCTCCACCCCCCCCTTCTTCAACATAAGCAACCGAAAGATCTGGCGATGGTTTATCCACCTCCATGCCGCCGCGCTGCGAGGCCTCGATTCGTTCGGTATGTGGCTTCCTGAGCGGTCCTCCCCGGAGGCAAGGTGAAAGGTCATGGCCTGTATCAGAAATTTATACGTTGCTGAATATGTTTTATAGTTCTTCCAAGGCATTGGACACCGTTTTATTATATCGGATAAGCATTGCACTTTCTTGTCAATCAATACAGCTAAAGAAAACTTGATCATAATCTTATACTGCGGCAATTGTAGTTCTGCTTACGGTTGCCTCTTTATGATACGGGCCACCACCACCTCCACTGCGCTGGAGCTCTGGCGTTCTACCCCTCCCCGCTACGGACCGGCCCTCGGGCTAGGTGTGTTAGTACTGAGCGCAAACCTGTAGTAGTCACGTGACTTTCATTCACGTAGCGGGAACGGAAGCTATAGGCGATACCAAGGACGGGCTCTGGGGAGGCAACCGGCGCGGAAAAATAGCACGATTGTAGTTTTGGAAGAATATCTGTTGCGGTAAGAGGAATTATACAAAACATACGTCCTAGGAGCAAACATGTGTTATTCCTCCATACTTTGCACTACATTTCCTTTCTCCAATGGCCAGCACTTAGCAAATAATAGCGCAATTCTAAATCGGTAATATATGTGTACAGTAGCAACTGCGGGTCCCTGTACTTGCGTGGGTCGTGCTTAAGTGTCAAAAGTTTCTCCACTTGGTGTTGGATGTGTTGTCGCTTCAGCCTTTTGTTCATCGATGTCACTTTGTTTCGTTGATATTTCCATCGGTCCCAGTCGTAGGCAGTCTGAGTTTGTTTGGCTCGTCTGAACAGTCTGTCGCGTTTCCTTATTTGTGTTTTTGGGTCGTTTGTCGTCCATGGCTTTTGAAATTTCTTGTCTCTAACTATCTTTTTTGGAATCGATGCGTCGGCAGCTCTTAATAAAGCCTCTATAAACAGTTCGGTTGCTGTGTCTATGTCGTTGTCCAGAATTTGTTCCCAGTCAGTGTCTTGTAAAAGTCTGGTAAGAAGTTGTGAGTCAAGGTTTGCATAATCCCATATCGTTTTATGGGTGAGGTCTGTCGTTTGTCGTGGAAAAGCAGTACATACAGTCACAAATATTGGGAAATGGTCTAAACGTGAAAACGAAGGTAATATCCCACTATCGATAACAATGTCAGTATTGTCTGTAAATATTAACCCGCGCCGGGCCGGGGGGGGGGTGTTTGAACACCCCCCCTTGCGGTTTTTCGCAGATATCTCAAAAACGGCGGCGCGGAGCGCCGCCGTTTTTGGTACACCTGTTCGTGCATCTTTTCCGCACATGTTGTGAAAATTTCAGACCCAGGTTACCTTAGGTCAGGTCACCAGGTCACGCCAAGTGACCTCACCTCAGAAAAAATAAGAATGCTCGTCATAGCTACACCGACTGAACGATTGCCTTGAAACTTTCAGCGATTGATAAGAGCAACACTATCTATAAAATGTATATCTCGGAATTTTGATATCGGTGACCTAAGGTCAGGTCAATTTTGCGGCCTCTCCATTATAAGTCAATGGGAGAAAGTTGAAAAATGCCTGTTTTGCACGAACGCTATTCTAGACACTCTCAAACATCGAGATGTAGGTAAAATAGACACACTGAACCAGAAAATGGCAACTGTGACCCCTCGTTATGTCCCCGAGGTCATCTCAGGTCACGAACAGAATCTAACAGTTTTTCGATGATAACTTCTGATAGAGGCGTGCTAGAGCGCTGAAAACGCCTTAGATGTGTTCGGCTCGACGTTGCGGATCGACTGATATGCAGCATGACCTTTTCCGGTCGGGTCATGACCTTGACCTGAGGTCAAATTTTCAAGTTGATCTTTCAAGGTCAAATTATAGTTCATTCGACGCGTCTCGACGAGAGGAACACGATGCTGGCAAAAGTAATGTCATAGCTCTTTTGAGTCAAAAGTTATTGCCGAAAAAACGTTTTTCGTAAAAACGGCTATTTTTGGAGTTTTTGCCCTCTGGAGGCTAAACCGTTGACCTGAGGTCAAATCTGAGAACATTACTCAGAAAGGTCTGTAAAAGGGCTATCGAATGCGTTTTTTTTTGCGGCGCTGTAGCTCTATCGGTTCCCGAGATAGCCGTTGGCAGTTTCCAAAATGTTGAAATAGTCAACATTTTACCTTTGGTGACCTCTGGTGACCTGACCTTTGACCTGACCCAAAAAATGACCGAAGTGTTTTCGTCCTTATTTTTGACGTTCTTTCGATTGCCGCTTACCGCGTGTCGCTACGTGGCCCAGGAGCCGAGTTAGAAGGGGGGGTGTTCAAACACCCCCCCGCGGCCCGGCGCGGAATTTCAGAGCACCGGCCCGGCGCGGGTTAAGTCATCATCCGCCCCTGTCACAGGATCCCAACTCCGACAACCCGTGACGCCGGGGGCTGGCCCCAGACTCGCGCTTCGCTGCATGCTCACAGTGCACAGGCCTTCGACATTGCACCCCAGCCCCCGCTGGTTCACCGTCGCAGTTCTGAAAACCAGCTGACTCAACTGACGTCCGTCCGCGCCTCGGGGGGGGGGGGAGGACGCAGTCAGCGAGATCGGGGGAGGGGCGTGTCACAAAACGACAAAGAGCAGGACACCCGCTCGCGAATGGTGCGGAAGTGACTCTGGTCTCAAAGCCACGCGCTGTATGAATGACAAGTGATATTATACAAGTCACAGGCCGGAAGGGGACTGCGGACGGCTCTGAATGAAAGGCACGCGCACAACGCGTAGAGCTCATTGTTAGAGAGCGGCTTATGTTCGACCTTTCACACCCTTTGCTCGTTAACAATAAGGTGTCTGGTACTGCAGAGAGGTCCTAGATAAAGGGACGGAGAACGAAGGGCTTTTATGTTCAGGAGAAAAACTATCAAGCATTATTCTGCTGATAGTTTCATTAGGTGTTTTGTTACACGGGGTCATTCACGTTTACAAAAGCCGTGGCGTGAGCATATACATCGAGTGTAAGGGAGAGATTAGTCAGTTCGGAATGGATCATGGAATCAACGAATATTTCATGTCAATAAAAGTTAAACTTGCCAAATGTGCCAGTTTATTTAATTTTATTTTAAACACATTCTATTTTTATGACATGCACTTTTTAAAAGACCTATCACACATACAAAAAGCGCGAACACATCGGCATACACTCACAGCATGCATAAAACAGAATCAAATGAAGTGCATCATCGAGGCACATTTGAAGTGCATCATCATGTTCAGTTTGGTGACTCTGAGACAGCTACCCAATGCTGAATGATCAAAGCAATATTACAAAATGTTGCGGTACATACCATTTGTTCAGACACCAGCTCCAGTTTCATGTCCAACATCGGTGGCTTATACTCGCGAACGTATTTCGCCAATAGTTCACCACAAGGGCTACCAATGCCGTCCGGCCTCTCCGGCCTTCACCGCACTCGAGTTCTCTCTCTCAGTTCACCTTCCAATTCACCTCAGTTCACCTCCCAGTTCACCTCATCACACGCCCTCCCGGGTTCCTCCCGGGCCGGCGCTCCGCGGCAGACTGCCTGTGACCCGGCCCCAGACGCGGGTAGTGTGGTGAGACTCCGGACCGGGCCGGTCCGGGCCTCCACTCCGACCGACAGATGGCGCAGCGGGCATGACTGCTGCGGTTAGACGTGATAGCCGCAGCCGCAGCCGCAGCCGCAGCCGCAGCCGCAGCCGCAGCCGCCACCGCCACAGCAGACCTCTGAGCCCCTCCTCGGCAGCGGCAGCCAACACGGGAGGGACATCACCTTATCCCGGGGATTACTGAGAGGGACGGCCGCAGACGGCCGGCCGCCGATGCACCAGTGGCTCCGCGGGCGAGCCGAGCAGTTCAGGAAGTGATTGACGCTACTGACGCAGAAGTGACGTCAAATTGACCCGGACGTCTGATGAGGATTAGTGTCTGAATGAACAGAGCTTATAATTGGCTGTTCAGGGTGACCCTGAGCACAACATTCAACATATGTTTTGAATTTCAATCAATGTTCTTAGTCTGAGGCTGTACGCAATTTGTCACATAACAAAACGTTTAAACAATTATGTCGCAGCTAGAAATTTAGAAACGACGCCCTCAATCGGTTTTATTGCAAATTTAATGCACACACGCTATATGTGTATTATGTATAGTGCATGCTGCACGGTAGAAAACAAATAAGTTACAAAGCAAAGCTTACAAGTTACAAGCTTTCTAAGTTGTACCGACATCTCGAGCCTGTCACAGCATGTTCGTCTCCCCGTGAATCACCCGTGATGTGGCATTTCCGTCACGGTACATCGGGATTACTTTCTTTAATCGGACTGCCTCACCCGCGGTCTTTGAGTCTACTGAGACGCCGCCATTAATCGTCCAAGACGAATCGCGAGACCAAGCCTGTAGGTAAGCCACAGGAGATAATGAGCTAACGACCACCTGCGGACATACGATTGGCTGCAAATTTGGTCAGTGGCAGTGGCTCATAGTTCAGCTGTGGACATGCCTATGTCAAGTCACTGCAAATAAGGCACGCTGAAGCATAAGTCCGGGCCGCACCTGTGCTGGTGTAAATACCCTACTCAGTGCATTGATTGACAGATAAATTTGATAAAATCGCTCCTGGTAGAATTAAAATATTAATATGCCGATTAGGCATGGGATAAAAAATGAAAGGATAAGTGATGACATCAGAGGCGGAAAATCGATAATTTGTGGGTGCTCGAGTAGATACCCTTCTCACTAGGTACCAAAACCACTCCCTGATATTCGTACACTTTTTCATAAAAATAGTACCCTTTTTCCGGTGGATAACTACATATCCATTCCAAGTGGACACAGTCGTGTGGGCAGAAAAGGTGCTGCGGAAGCGTATAAGCTTACGTAAGATATCTATATTACTATTTGAGGAGGGTGCGTCTGTCCGTTACCGAGGTCCCGACTTGGTGGTGCTTTGCGTGGACTACAGGCCAGACCGTTGCACCTAGCCCGGTGAAATTTGCACAACTTATAGATCAAGGATGCGCGACGTGCCTTTGAGGGGTCTCAGCTCGATCGGATTGATAGGGAGCGCGTGGCGCGTGCTCAAAAAGTGCAAAATCGCGTCATAGACTTTACATGTATAAATCGGCGTGCGAAATCGGGCGAGAACGGCTAATTTTGGCCGACACGGGTCCAGTTCCCGTGCAATATCTTGGTGACCAGGGGTCCGACCGGCACGGGGAAAACAGCATCGTGTACAGAATTGAACGGGCTATTGAATGGTGTGCAATGCAGAGGATAGCACGCGCCACGTGCACCGGAGAGGGCACTTTTATTTGAAAAATTGCGGTTTTTGAGAGATTTTGGAATTAATTTTATTTTTAGGTGACCGTTAAATGGAGCGAGTTGAATCAACGCCTATTTGCAAGAGAAAGGTACCGCCTCTCATATAAAAATTGTGAAAAGCTGATTGATCCAAATCAAGGTGGTGCAAATCACAGGAGAAAATGGTGTTTGTCAATTTTGTGCCACTTTATTAATCACACGGGGTTTGCTGCATAACCTGATACCTTTGGCAATTGAAAATGGCACCGTTGGAAAGAGCATTCAATTCTGTCCAAGATTCACTCTTCATGTTTGCATGATGAGCAACAGTATTCTTAAAAATGTAAATGTTCCAAACCATTACATTGTCATTTTTAGCGAAATTCAGCGATGGCCCTCAAAAGACTTCACGCCAGTTTTCGAATCATTCTTAAGTAGAACGCATGATAATACGACACGGGCACCTCGATGCGATGTATCTTTTTGTTTTATTACAAAATGCTTGGCCGTCAAAAAGCAATCAAACGAAATGGATACCAACCAAACCGACACAGACCAACCCAATACCCACGGGTCAAAAATAACCCTTCTTCGCGTTGCGGAGCACGCGGGTAACCCTAGTTTTAAACTAATGAAGTAAGCTGCGCAAGATTTCGCGGCTCCATAGCACACCGCTAAGAAAGCATCTCGTGGTATTTGGCGAGTCCACATTTGGATGACATCGCTTGATGGATGGGCGGTCGATTCTTATTAATTCAGATTGCCTCTGCAAGGCGTTATAAAACATTTGCTGATAACCGCTTCCAGTCCGCCTACGCCGACTATCCTTGCGATCCAAACTTGTTACTTGAAGCTCGTTCTGCAATTTTGGCGTGACGAAACCTGAGCACCAGTTTTTAATCTCGCGAGGGCGTAATTTTTTCGGTAGCTGGATCGCCCACTATCGACATGAGATAAGTGAATGACGTCAGTTGCTATTGTTCACGTCTGTATACGGCAGTCGCGAACACCAAAATTGCAGCCAGCAAGTTGCAACACCGCTATGCCTACATTGCCTCATGACAGCGAGCTGGAGGTCCGTGAGCCTCGCTTTTACCAGAGAGTTGAGTAAACGAGGCTTGTTGTGTCCGCTTCACACGGTAGCGTGGTAGGTACTTACTTCTTACAAATGGGAGCGGCAAGGAGGTGACAACATGTTAGCTGTATCTGTACTTCAGTTCATTCCAGTTCGGTTCTGGCGTGCCGCTAAGATTGTCGTCCCGACTGCCTGGTCCGTATTATACTGAGCTCTCGGTCAGATACAGCCAGCACCTTAGTGGCCGGGTCAGGTGACTGTCGGCTAAAAATAAAGTCCAATGGGAATCCAACTAGGAGATACTACCGAAGAACACGATGGTTAATCCCGTTGTGCCTGCTGTTGCTGCAGGATAATTTAATGACGCATAAGAAACTAACGACAAATAAATTCGCCATTCGCCAGAAAATTTGTTGAGATTGAATCGTCATTAAGTTACATATTTGATAAGTTTTTATGGATGGTAATGGTAATTTTTACTGACATGTTCTGTCATATTTAAATTTCTTATTTATCCAGGTAAATTACGGATCATATAAATATATTTTATGTTTCAATGTTTTTTAATAAGTGAATGAGGACTTTACCCCACAAGAAATCGTTCGGGTATGACATGTTTGGGTCGGGATTTTTTTGTGGAGTAAAGTCTTCATTCACGTATTACATTAGCGAACTCAACATCATGTCCTTTCAATGTGTTTATATCTATTTTACGTTCATCTAATCACAATAATTGAAGGAACGGTGGTATCGCCATTCCTAAGCCAAACAATCCTATTTGTCTCGCCTTTTTAAATCTATTGCTATATTTAAAGAGTCATCTAGTTATTGCTATATTTATCCGCCCCAACAAGCATTGCCAATACGGGAAGATTGCCGTTTAAATGTCACGACGATATTCTTAGAAGTTGCAACCACATATACACCCCGTAATATAGGAACGCCTATAAGTTCAATTAAATGTCACTACACTATTTTCTAGCAGCTATACTTTCACCCAAATTAATATGGAAACGGCTTATTTTAATGCAAAGAAGAGACATCAACAAGGGGATAACCATTAGCAACTCAAGCTGCTTAGATCAGCATGCTTCTTGTCGGTAATCAGTATTTAATGTCATCTCACTCACGGTGAGTTTCGATTTATGACAGTGCTTACGGACAACATACAGAGCACGGAATATATAGTCTACGACAGTCGTAGTCTGTAGTCTGTCGTAGACTATATATTCCGTGATACAGAGGACGCTCAGCAATTCTCGGAGGACTGACGCTAATTGACCTTGGGTGTACGTGATCTTATTTATTTACTTATTTATCTATTTATTCATTTATGTATTTAGTTATTTTTGTACTTCGGAGAGGCATTTTAGCGTCTAGCACAGCCGCACAGCCACACATTTTTACCACTCGTTTCTTATTTATAAGTGAAAAATATCAGCAATGCTCGCTGAATGCTGATGCTATCATGCTAATAGGACATCCAAATATTAGGAATTTAATCTTATCGACAAACTAGTTAGGGGCACGTATACTGCCATGCTGATAGCTACAATAGACATATGAGGTCGTATGTTTAATCATTGAATGGCACGTCATACGATTCTCGCATGACATAAAACTGAAACTAAGCAAAAGTGCAGGAATCTGACCAGCGTTACGCTATATGTGTTAAGTATTGCAATCAGGCTGTCATATCTATACGGATCAATGATCTATAAATATTTGCATAGTTGGAATAACTCAGACATCTCGCACGGCCAACGGAAACACAGACACGCATAGTTGCACCTATTTGGAATGAATGAATACAGGATGGCATCGAGGATCGGCTACATTCGCTATTCGTCGCATTGATACCAAATAAGGTCATGCCGACTTTTCACTGGAGCCTGCCGCTCTGGCCCGCACGGGGAGCTGCCATTGCGGGTCGGCTTTTGACTGGCTAATGTCTGCGCGTGTTCCGTCATCCCTGGCTAACCGGACACAATGAACTCTCACTCTTTGATCTCTCACTCTCTGATCCTGTTAGCGGTGCCAGACGGCCGCGCAATGCCCTGTCGTTGAAACTGCAGCGGCGTGAGAAGCCTCCCAAATAAGGCAATGTGCTCGCCGGCCGACCGCGGTGCCCGGCGAGTCGCGACAAAATTTTTACAGTCCACTGACGGCGTCAGGGATTTCATGAATCAGTTCATTTTTACCGTCAGTAGAAAGCTGGCTTACACACTGATGACGTAATCTGTGTATGACAGTTACCAATCGCCTTGTCCTGGTGCTTGTATCGATAGATCGACGGCATTTATAGTCGGCTCGTGTCGTCAGTTCAGCAGCGAGGAACGATGTCACGTCGTCACGCAAAAACAGCGTCACCTGCAGACGTCACTACCGGTATGCGGTATCACGGCAGTGGCCACGAGCGCACGGCGACGAACAAGGCCTATCTACCCCGATCAACCCTATT